CAAGTATTTCTATTAGTGGACCTGAGACCTTTAGGAGTGGCAGGAGGGAGGTTGCTAAGTTATTATAGTAAAAGGTAATAAATTAATACATTTACTAAGCGTTATCTGAATGGAGATAATTCATATCTATACCTACCTATACACTACCATTTTCTAAGTTATGTGAAGATGTTGTGACTAATAAAATGCAAATCATTTAAAAGTGTCGTTCATAATACTTTAAATCCTCATTCATTGTTTTAAAAGTACAAATAGTGAATGTTTTTGATGTTTGAAAGGGTTTCTTAAAATCCAGGGTATTGGAAACTTTTTGTACTATGATATCAATGTAATGATTTCTATAGTTTATTACTAATTAGTTAATGATACATAACAATGTATGGCTAGTAATATGAGGCATTGTTCAAGCATTGCTGTTTTGCAGCTGTACCAGAAGAATTGTGCATGGAAAAATTGGTCTGTTACTTGGTGGCTTTAACTACATTTTTTATACATGCAGTGGTATTTATAGATTTTTCTTTGGCTAGAGTGTGAACGTTTTTAGGGGGAAGAGAATAGATCTTAGCTTTGTATTTCTAGGAAGAAGAGCAAAGAGCCTTATGCTTAAATGTTGAGTGAATGAATGAATAAAAGCGGTGTGTGTGTCTAGGCTTTTGAACTCAAAGAGTCCTAAAAATTAGCTTTTATTATTCTTTATTTTGACGTGGAGACTTAGCTCGTTTGTAAGGAGCAAAGGAGGGTTTCCTTTAGTCTTAAACCATTGGAAAGGGCTTTTATGGACTAGGTCATGAAATTTTGAAGAGCCGTAATTTAAAAAATTCTGTGGAAGATATGAATAATGGTCTTGAAGGCCCAAAGTGTGTAGGTTCCAATTCTGTTGAACTCTGTATTTCCAGGAGTAGCCTCCATTTCTGTCTGGACCATTAGTTGTCTTTTTATCTAGGTCTTTTCTGTAATATTCTCTAGAACTTTACTACTCAAAGTGTGCTCACCAGACCAGCAGACTAGTAGTCGTGGGAGCGTTAGAAATGCAGAGTCTTGGGGCGCCTGGGTGGCTTAGTCGGTTAAGCGTCCGACTTTCGCTTAGGTCATGATCTTGCGGTTCGTGGGTTCGGGCCCTGCATCGGGCTCTGTGCTGACTGCCAGCTCAGAGCCTGGAGCCTGTTTCAGTCTGTGACTCCCTCTCTCTCTGACCCTCCCCTGCTCACGCTGTCTCTCTCTCTCTCTCCTAGAAATAAATAAAACATTAAAAAAAAAAAATGCAGAGTCTTGGGCTTCACTCTAGGTCTACTGAAGCAGAATTTTTATTTTAATAACACTTCCAGAAGATTCATAGGTTCATTACAGGTTGAATACAAAATGATCCTTGAATACTTTTGTTCAAGCCTAATGTGTTTTTTTAAATGCCTAATAAAATGGGTAAAACTATTTTCATCTACTCTTACTGTACTGTTTGTTTGGATTTTGTGAGGAATGATAAAAAGCATTCACTCTTGTAGTGAATCTTGAGATTTAAAGTAAAAATTGTATAACTCTAGAGAGAGGGAGACAGGTAGGAACAGTTTCAGGATATTTTCCCACAGGAACAGAAAGAGATTGGGAATTTTGATGTACAATGTGGACTTAACTCAGAGGTAGGCCAGAAAAGCTGGTTATTTACTGATTAAGACAGGACACTTAAAAAATACTTCCATTCCATAAATAGAATTCCCTGGAGGGGCAAGGCTATCAAGAATGGAAGATTAGCAATGGACTTAACTGTTTTTGACTATCAACAATCTCAAGAGTGGTCTAGGAAAGGGAAAAGGGCTTTTGCTTGCTCTGGAGGGGAGGGGCTTGGATCTTCCAGAACTCAGAATTTTAGGGGAATAACTTTAGGGATTAATAAACATTTCCCATAAAATTTTGTTTGCCCCCTTTATTTCCTTCTGTTTGACTTCTCCAGTTTCCATAGTCCCCACTTTCAGTGAGTCACCAATAGTTGTTTTTAACCTAGCATGTCTCTCCCCAGCCAGGCCTAGCTCCATAGTCATTGCAGTTCCCTTGAGTTCACATCCTTCATCTAGACCAGTGGTTCTCACATGGGGGCAGTTTTGTCTCCCTGCTCCCAGGGCGCATTGAAGATCTTTTTGGTTGTGTCACATCTGGGACCGTGGGGCTACTGGCTTCCAGAGGTCAGAGGCCAGGAATGCTGCCAGAACATGACTCAGTGCCCAGGACTGCCTCCACAACAAGACAGTTGCCCAATGTCTGTGATGCCGAGGCTGAGAAACCCTAACCTGGATTACTGCCAGAGTCCACTGGTCGTCTGTCTGTTGCCAGTTTAGTTTTCATTCAGAAGCTTTCAAGAGTTCACCCCTTTGTCCATGGAATGAAGTCTAAAGTCCTTGGCATGGGATATAGAACAATTTTTTTTATTGCTCTGCAGCCTCATCGTTTGCTCTTCAAGGTTAGCCCTCTACTCTAATGGTGGACTGAGTACTTGTGGTTTTCCTTTAATATCACACTGCTTATATGCTTCTGCATACACATTTTTCTAGCCTACAGTACATCTCTCTCCCTCCCTCCCTCCCTGTTTCCATCAAGGCACACTTAACTCCTTCAGAACTGCTTAGGCATTTGGCTTCTCTGTGAACCCTTTGTCTCTGCCCTATTGGTACCTTAATTATATATGCATTTATTATATCACAGTGAGGATGTTGTGTTTGCATGACTTTGTTACCTACTACATTATATCCTCTTTGAGGGAAAGGTTTGTGTTTTATTCATCATTGTATTCCAAGTATTTAGAACAGTTCCTGATACAAAAAAATCTCTTAGATGTTTAGTTGAAAATATGTTTTCTTCAAGGGATCAATAATAGTCAAGATAATTTGGGAATTAGCTTACAGATGAGAGTTTACTATAATTTATGTCCTATAAATTAGTTGAGACTTCTACCCTCGTGGTGTCTGTTGCTGCCATCCCTTTGCAGGTGTCATTTTGTCTTCTGTTGCTTCTAATGATCATTTAAATGGTATTGATACCTTAGGTCTTTTCATTCAGTAGCACATAGAAGGTTTTACTTTTGAATTAGATTTTAATCTCTGGCTGTTTATTGGGGAAACTTAAATCTATAATGGCACACATTTGGGGAAGAGTCTATTCAAGAGTAGGGGTGTTAGGCTAATTACAGGTCTTTGAGGGTTGGGGTAGGGATAGAAGTGGTGAATTCCTCTTTGGAAAAACAAGAAACAAAATGAGAGCTGTTGGGAAGGGAGAATGCTACATTGGATTTATGTAAATGCTTTTTTTTCTGTGTTGCTTAGTGCACTGGTATAAGAAAATAAATTGCTGATTGTAATAACCAACTCAAAAGCAAGTCTGAATTTGAAATTATACAAGGCACCTGGAATTCAGTTGCCTTGTATAAATCCTATCTGGCAGGTTGTGTTTTGTTTAAGTAAGTATTCTTTGATGTGTTGAACTTTTCTGATAATTAGGATAATCTTTAGTCCAGATGTTTTCTAAAATACAAATTTAAAATTAGTGAAAGCTTCATTAAGGTGATAGTATTTTTGCTGTGTATCAGAGTTGTGAGCGATGTTACTGGAAATAATTTCCTTTAAAATTCTTTCATTTATAATATTGTTCTGATGAGTACATTATTATTCTCATCCACAGAAGTTGCTCATGATGTAGACATAGAGGGTAATTGAATTGGCGTGAGATTGCATAGAGGTGGAAATATTTTAGCCTCATGAAGCACTTATCCACTGCTATTAATTATTGGTTTGGTGGGTAGTTTAGTTGCCTTTCTTATGCAAGTTTAATTTTTTTCCCCTTAAATCAAAGACTATTAGCAAAGGCCCATTTCTGTAGTTAGAATCTAATTTGCATTGAATAATTTCCATAGGCATTATTTGTAAGGTTGTTTTGAAATTTAGAAATCAAGTGTTTTCTTCAAATGGGTTGTCTCTGCTAGCCACATTTATATTTTATGTATTTATCTGGCTGTGACACTTTTTCTGAAGACAATTAATTTTAACCATTTGCTTCAGCAGACTTATGACAGAACAGTGAGTAAACTTAGATTTTGTTTTTTCAGGTCTTAAGTTAGTTACCTTCCCAAGAATGTACCAGCATTCCTTAAAGGGAAAAATTATATATACAAAAAGTATATAGTAATTTAGTGCAAATTTGTTATAAATATGAGTGGTAAGATGGTAAAAACTATCATTAACTTTCATGTATAAAAAAAGCCCTGCCAATTACTATTAAGATTGTTTACTAACTTTATTACAGTGTTTGCCAATGAATTTATGCTTTTATTGGACAAGCTGTTCAATATCAGTCTGTTCACATTACTGGTATTTATAAGACCCATGAAATGTGTGTATTTTTAAAAAATTTTTGAGATTACTTCATTGAGTATCTTAAGTTGAATGCCCACTTCAGACATAACGACTTGTACTTTAATGTGCATAGAATTTTAAAAATTAAAAAAAAACTCAAATCTATTTCTTAGGAATTAGCTGCTGCTTTTAAGTGGGAGTAGTTCCTCAGTTAGAAATAAGGTAGCAAAATGGGGAGCAGAAAAAGAATTTGGAGAATATTTTTGCTTGTATTTTGTGCCCTTGAAGCATTTCTTCGTATTGCAGTGAGAATAGGTAAGTGCCAGTGGAAAAAATTTTGCAGAGCATGTAACTTTGCTGGTAATTTCTATATGTTAAAGTTTTACAAGGTGGGATTATAATGTATATCTCTTAACACATTTGTTGCTTTATATCACATTGTCGTTCAGCCTGTTAGGACCGTGGGTTATTTCGGAGGTGTGTATTGGGGGTGGGGGTGGGGTGGGAAATGGTGGGTGGTGATGAGGACATTAGAGGGAGTGTCTTAGAAATTTTACTTGTTTCCCATTCCACCATTCCTCACACCCTCTGTGTGTTAGTTGTGTTAGTTTAGATTAGTGTGGGGGATGGTAGGAGTGGCCTGGTGTCTTTCCTTCTTTTTCCCAGCCAAGGAAGTACCGCCTGGGGATGCTGGAGGAGAGGCTAGTTCCGATGGGATCAAAGGCACGAAAAGCAAAGAACCCTATTGGCTGCCTTGCTGACAGGTGTAAATCAGGAGTACCCATCAATATGGTTTGGTGGAACAGAGTCACAGAAAACAATTTACAGGTAAAAATAATTTTATTAGACATTTTTTGAAAGTGAATATCTTGGCTGCTTTCTGTGTCTGTGTGGGGTGGTGGGTGTAAGACTGGATGGCTTAGTTGATATCCTTAGGTGATTTTTTTTTTTAATCGAAGTAAGATTAGTGGCCCATTAACCAATTATTTTCTTTGGTGGCTCTTTGAGCTTTCTCTGATTATAGTAAATTTCCCTATTCTTTTATGAGATTTAGTTTTTCCCTTTTGGATTTTGTTAATAGTTATGAGTTCAATTATTTTTAATACACAGTTATTCGGGGTACTATATTCAAAAGTCATTTTAAAATTTATTATAGGAAGTCTCATTTATTTGCAGTCTCAATAACAGGAAGCTTCATATGTTGTCTTTTTGTACAGTTTTACTACTAAATAAAAATTGTATGTAAACAAACTTGTTAAGTGTTGGTTCTAAAACCAGCTTCAATACTGTGTTGTCATAAAGTTGTGGCAGGTACATTTTAGTCTTTGCCTTATCATTGTTGAATAATGAAAATGGATTTTATAACAAAGCTTAGCTGTTAAGTAAGATTCTGCAGTACCTGTGGAAAGGTTTGAATTATATTCAATTTTAATTTGAATTATAATTAATTATATTCTCCTTTAATAATATTGGTAATGGTATAATACAGATCTGTTAGTCAAAATTTCAGTTTAGGTGGAAGTAGAATATCATTCTCCCCAAACTTGCTGAAAGTCTGCAATCCCACATACATACACCACACACAGAAAACATATAACAAAGTTAACAACTTGTTTTATTTCTGTCACCACCCTTGTGTTATGAAGGGATTCCACAATATTTTGGTCTGATCGGTATTAATACCATAGCAGTATCTATATTGCCTTGGGCGTAGAAATAAAGAAGTTACTCCAGACATACTGCAAAACATAGCATTTGCCCCAAATGGAAATTTACATAGTATCTTCTAAAGGTAAGGAAAAACTTGGTGGGGCAGGGAGGAGGTCCACATGATAATATACTTATAGTTTCATTGGAGACTTTTGAATATGTCAATTGTGAATAGTGGTATAGTTCACTGAATTTTATCTTTGAGGTTGGTAGGAGAGAGATTTGATGTTGATTGTTGGATTATTTTTCAGTTTTAAAAAGAAAGTCTGAAAATAAATTGTACCTTAACTGTACAAGAACAGAGACAAGTGGCTTGCAGACTGTGGGGCGTGATGGTGGTAACACACCGGGATGCTGGTAGCACACTGGTAACTCAGCCTCCCCGCAGCGGCCCCTCTTTGCCCAGTGACAGTTTGGAGGTGCCTCTTTTTAGCACAGCTTGAAATACCATTAGGTTACTATAAGAATGTACGCTAGAATTATGCTTTATTTTTGATTAAAACAGGTTATAATAGATAAACCTTTCAATGTTATCTGAATCTCATATTTCAGATACCACTATTATTTTATTATGCTTCAAATAGTTCTTTTCCTTTAAGCACGTGAGGAATGCCTTATTAGCTTGGTCTGACATTGGAAGGGCAGTACCACCTCGCAGTATCAGTGACATGTTGAAGTATTGAAAAATACCCATTTAGTATCTATTACTGTATTTGTGGATTCCTACATTGGGTACCTGTTGGTGTTTATGCAGAGCAAAGAGTATGTCAGTCTCTCTCTCTCTCTCTCTCTCTCTCTCTCTCACATATTGGGGTTTTTATCTTCTTGTTGTGTGAAGAAAACTAATTCATGTAAATCCATTCTTTACCTTTTTTTTAGTTTTGCATGATGCTTTTTAACATTGTATATTTGTTCACATAAAAAATTTTACACAAAAAACTGTGTAGCCAGTTACATTAATCTTTCCTGTCTCATTTGTTTCCTTTCCTTTCCATCTTAGGTCTTCTCAAACTTAAGGTCAGAGAAATACTAATTTATATTTGATTTTAGTAATTATAGCTGTGTTTCTTAAATGGTTATCTTGTGCCAGGCACTGTGGTAAGCTCTTTACATAGATCATCCCTTTTGGTCTTCCTCATAGTAATGACACAAATGTTATTGTCAAATGAAGAAAGTTCTTCAGAGAAGCTAAGTGACATTACGGTTAAGTAATAGTCCGTAGAGGAGTGGGCATTTTAAGTTCTGTCAGACTTTGAATTCTCTTCACCTCTGTGTGATATACCCTCTGATGTACTAGAGCTGTGATTCACTTACTTATCCAGCTAGGTAACTGGACTTCTAAGGAGGAACTTATTTTGGATGAGAGTGCATACATAGCTTTCTAGACGTGGACTGTAACTTGTGCTCCTCACATTTCCATTTGATTCTCAGCGACATGTAATTACCTTTCTTTCTGGATCTGGAAACATCTCTTTACATCTATTTCTAGTCTTAACCTAACACCGTTAGACGTTTTTCTGTTTCTGAAAACAAAAGATAACCAACAAAAACCTTAAACCAAAAACAGCAACAGAAACTTTCTCTGAAGTTTGAAGGTTTCCACCGGAATCATTCATAATTGCATTTAATGTCTTAAGTGTTGGATTTCTTTCAAGTGCCATGATCCCCCATCTTTTAGTATTTAGTAATTTTTAAAATTCTTTTCCCCAAGAGTCTCATGATATGAGAGAGCCTGTTTCCAAACACATGACATTTGTAAAGTAGTGTGATTCATGCTTTCATTATAATAAACACATGCAAAAAAAAAAAAGTATGCCTAAGTATAAAACATGCTTGTTAGAGAATCAAATATACTTAATATTTTTCTTAGTTTTTTTGGTAGCTTGGTGGAGGCTAAATTTATTTTACATATGGCTCTTTGAAATACTGATAATGCCCATCAGATCTCCATCACTATGTATGTGGAGTTCCCACTTGAAGGCCCTGAGGACCTTTGGAGTAGTTTCTGTTCTTTTCTCTGATGTCTTGGCCACCCACGTAATAACTTCAGTATCTGCAATTTGGCATTATAAAAATTTCACTGAAACTGCTCTTATAGAATGCCAAAGATGATCTTAGTGTAGCTCTTTTATCCAGCACTTCGTACTGCTGGCCACCTCTCTGTTTTTGGAACTCTTTCCCCTTTCCAGTCTTGACTCTTTGTTTCTTCACTGGCTCCTTGGGAGCTCCTTTTCTTGGCTCACTTGTTTTTTGCTTTCCCTTGTATGCTTCAAATTCTTAGAATTTTATTTCTAATAGAACTGTCTTCCGAGTTCAAGACCCAGATTTTTTAGATTTTTTTTTTTTAATGTTTACTTTTTTGAAAGAGGGAGACAGAGTGAGAACAGGGAAGGAACAAAGAGAGAGGGAGACATAGAATCCAAAGCAGGCTCCATCTAGGCTCAGAGCTGTCAGCACAGAGCCTGACACAGGCTTGAACCCACAAACTGTGAGATCATGACCTGAGACAAAGTTGGACGGTTAACTGACTGAGCTACCCAGGCTCCCCAAAGACCCAGATTTTTTGTGCTGATATCTTTGCATGTAGGTATGTATCCCACTATCACTGCAAATTTGGCATGTCCAAAACTCAGTGCATTTTTCTATTCTCCAAATCTATGGATTCTTTTGTGGTGGTTCTTTAGTAAATTACTTCATCATCTTCCCAGTCACTGAAGCTACATATATTGACTTCTTCCCTGTCATCTCTCACATTCTGCCATTTATTATAAGAAGGAAACTACTGAAGTTTGGCTATCAATTGAAAGATAATACATTGAACAATTCATTTGCCATCATATGAAGGCTGTACTACAGTAATGATATATTATCCTCAATTGACAAACAATGGAAGTTGCAATTTAGAAAAACTTGGGGTACCAGGGTGGCTCAGTCAGTTAGTGGCCAACTTCAACTCAGGTCATGATCTCACAGTTTGTGGGTTTGAGCCCTGAGTCCGGCTCTATGCTGACAGCTCAGAGCCTGGAGCCTGCTTTGGACTCTGTGTCTCCCTCTCTCTGTGACCCTTCCCTACTCACACTCTATCTTTCTGTCTCTCTCTCTCTAAAAAATAAATAAACATCAAAAAACCTTACTTTTTTTTTTAAAGTTTTTTTTTTTTTTTTTTTAATTTACATCCAGGGTAGCATATAGTGCAACAGGATTTCAGGAGTAGATTCCTTAATGTCCCTTATCCATTTAGCCCATCTGTCCTCTCACAACCCCTCCAGCAAGCCTGTGTTTGTTCTCTATATTTTAAGAATCTCTTACGTTTTGTCCCCACTCCCTGTTTTCATGTTATTTTTGCTCCCCTTCCCTTGTGTTCACCTGTTTTGTATCTTAAAGTCCTCATGGGAGTGAAGTCATATGATATTTGTCTTTCCCTGACTAATTTCACTTAGCATAATACCCTCTAGTTCCATCCACGTGCTCGCAGATGGCAAGATTTCATTCCTTTTGACTGCCGAGTAATACTCCAGTGTATTGTATACCACATCTTCTTTATCCATTCATTCATCGATGGACATTTGGGCTCTTTCCAAATTCTGGCTATTGTTGATAGTGCTGCTGTAAACATTGGGGTGCATGTACCCCTTCGAAACAGCATACATGTATCCCTTGGATAAATACCTAGTAGTGCAATTGCTGGGTTGTAGGGTAGTTCTCTTTTTAACTTTTTGAGGAACCTCCATACTATTTTCTAGAGTGGCTGCACCAGTTTACATTCCCACAGCAGTGCAAAAGAGATCCTTTTTCTCGGCATCATCGCCAAATCTGTTGTTGCCTGCGTTGTTACTGTTAGCCATTTCGACAGGTGTGAGGTGGTTTTGATTTGTATTTCCCTGATGATGAGTGATGTTGAGCATTTTTTCATGTGTCTGTTGGCCATCTGGATGTCTTCTTTGGAGAAGTGTCTATTCATGTCTTTTGCCCATTTCTTTACTGGATTATTTGTTTTTTGGGTGTTGAGTTTAATAAGTTCTTTATAGATTTTGAATACTAACCCTTTATCTGTTATCTTGTTTGCAAATATATTCTCCTATTCCATAAGGTTTTATTTTTTTATATAATCTCTACAC